AACTCTGTCGCTTGTTCTACAAGGTAGTTGATACACATTTGTTTCTTTTCTTGTCATTTGTAGAGTGATACAAGTAAGAATCCTGCCTCATTAACCATAAAGAATGTTTCTTCTAAGGACAGTGGACTACGGATTTCTTGTTTAGCAGAAAATATTGTGGGAGAAGACCAAGCTTCTGTTGAGCTCATGGTGTTCTGTACGTAAACAGTGTTGCATACAATTTCAGCTGCAGAAAACCCTGATCAAACTGCATCAGCACAAAAAATGTTGGGTGTAAATGTCTGTTGGGCACATAAGTTATTGAAGTAAAATATCCTCCAAGTTCATGAACATTACATTTAACAGCACAACCAGAAGTTGTTATTTTTTGTTTTACTACGTGGAATTGAACATCCCTGTGTATCTGGGCTTATACCTGCCTTAACTTTCAGTTTGAACTCATTTAAGTCAATGTTTGAAGTCCCAAATGTTCACAAGACAATATAAACTGGAGATGTGTGTGTGTGTATTAAATGTTAAAGTCTTTCCTCTAAAACAGTAATTCTGGTATGTTAAAAAACAGTTATTCTGTAACATTTGTTTTCCCAGGCATATTTTACTTTGCCCATAGCTCTGAAATAATCAATTTACTTGTTATGGTTAAGACAAGAGGGTTGGTACATGGGATAAAATCACTAACCTCTTAACTGTAAGATTCCAGCATGAATCCATTTAAAGTGAATTAAGTGGGATATTTAAACAGTCTTCAGCTGTTGACTCTTCACATTAACCATCAGTTGGAAGGCTCAGGCTTAGACAAAAATTTGCTTAGTAGATGCTCGTGGCAGATTAGATTAAAGAAGTATCTATAGATTAAAAGATTTATAAGTTTAAATCAGATGTCAAATAGCTACTGGAAGGGACATAAACCACAAATATTTTGAAGGGTGTTAGCAAGGAATCCCAGATTGACTGCATTATGAATGGTATGAAGGAATATAACTAGATGGAAATTGGATGAATAACAAGGAAAACTTGTCAGTGAAATGTGCAATGTTGTGGAAAAGTCTCCCAAAGGAATCAGTAGTGTGATCCATAAAATTGGGACATTTTGAACTCAATAGCATACTAGAAAATGTACTGTAGGAAATGATCTTGTACTGGTTAGGAGATACCCTCTTTAGCAGAGGTCAGCAGTATACTGCCCATAGGCCAGATCAACCCATGGAGCCAATAGATCTGGCCCACAGAGCTGGAAGGCTTTGCCTCTGCCCATGCCCATGCTGTGACTATACTGTAGGTGAATAGCTGAAAGGTCTGCCTGCATTGTCACCATTTCACCTCACCTCCCTGGTCCTTGGCTGCAGGGCAGGCACAACTTCCAGCCAGTGGCAAAGTAAGCTGGAACTGGGGCCTTCCAGCTACAGCTGTGCTGCAACTGGGAGGTGGGGAAAAGCAGCAGCAGTGTGGATGCACCTTTCAGCTACCCTGCACAGCTCCCCACCAGCTGGAAGCTGCACCTGCACTCCTGCTGGGAAGGAAGGGACTGGGACAAGTGGCTCTGGTACCAGTGGAGCCCCCAGGTGCCTGGTCCCAGAATGGGTACATGCAAACCTTACTGCTAGCGTACTTCTGAAGCCAGCTTGCCTGAGTTGGACTACAGCCAGGTTGTTCCAGCCCACATCTTGAAGAAGTGGACTGCTCTTGCTCTCTAGTATCCATGATGCTATGAGGAAAATCACCTAAAAATGTGGATGTTGATTTTGAATATACTTCCAGCGCTGTTTCACATTTTAATTAGCTCTTCAACACTTTTTATAGTACTTGGTGCTTTGGCTGAAAAACAATGTGGAGGATTTCACATTAAACAAAAACCTTTAGGAGGACTTTTTCTCACCCCACAAAACCTGAAGTGCTGAAAGCTGTTCCTGATTTTATCCATTTGTACATCCCTTTTTAAACAATAGTTTCTGGAGCTACTGACCAATTCAGGTCTGAATTTAGTACCATAATCAGAGTAAGTGGGTGTACGCTCCCTGTTTTCCTATATGAATATGTTTATAAATAAGCTAAAGAGTGTAGAATTTAAAGCTGACTATCTTTTAGCTTTAATGATTAGAAAAAAATTCCTAAGTATTGGGGGGGGGAGGGGGGAGAGACATGTTCAGGATATTCTGATGTTGTTCACTCTTTTTTTCAATATAGTTGCACCAAATATCACATTTATTGAATCTCCAACCTCGGACCACCACTGGTGCATTCCATTCACTGTGAAAGGGAACCCTAAACCCACACTGCAGTGGTTCTATGAAGGGGCTATACTGAATGAGTCAGAATACATCTGTACTAAAATACATGTTATCAATCAAAGTGAATACCACGGCTGCCTTCAGTTGGACAACCCTACGCACTTGAACAATGGAGCTTATACCTTACTGGCAAAGAATGAGTATGGAGAAGATGAGAAGCGAGTTGATGCTCATTTCATGTCAATGCCAGGAGATGGTGAGTACCCTTCTCCTACGTTAGGAATGGCACACTGATGATCATGTAGTGGTAGTGCTGCTGACCAGGCTATAGGTATTAATTTGATGTTGCTGTTAATGAAATGGGCTGATCCACTGCTTTCTAAATTTAAGAGTTATCTTAAACTAAACTTCTCTCTACATCATGACTTTTAAAAAAGTTTCCCTTCCCATTTTAGACTCCTTTTCACTTTTGATTTACTTAAGTGAGCCGCAAATTAGCTCTGTCTGCTGTATTCCATTTCAGGCCCACAGTTCTTCCATGACCTGACAGAATTGGTAAAGTAATTCTTTTTATAAAAGACCTTTCCCAATAAATAAGTTCTGATCCTGAAAAGTAAATGTACAAGTCAACATACTCATTAGGACACTAGAGGGGTCTACAGAGAAAACAAGTACCCCTTTATGTAGAAGAGACAAGATGGCCACTGATAACTATTTATATAGGGAGTTTCTGTATTAAAGCTGCTGTAACAGACTTCCCTGTTTGGTTGGCATCCAGGATATGACAGATACTCAAAATGTAGGGATTACAGTAAGTGTCTTATGTTTAACAATGCATGGTAATCATGTGGCTAAGTGGTAGACTTCTACTTGTCCACGTGAAATTTCTCTTGCTGTACATGCACCTCACCTGTGAAGTATGGAAGCATTTTGGTGTAAGTAATTGCACATTTATACCTGAAAATCTACCATTGGGTAGAAATAAACTGGCCCTAATTGAAATGGTGATGCCTAATCCTATGTTCTCCTCTTACAGTGACAGGAAAATAGGCTTTAAACCTTTCATATTTGAATTCTGTCCCCTTCACTACTAGTTATAAGCATCAAAAATGTACCCCATATTCAATACTTGAGGTACATTGATTTGATAGAGATAATCAGCTATATGATGGTTCTCTTCCCAGTTCGTGCAGTGGATTGAGAGCAGACACAGTTACTCCAGCGTCTCTTAGAAGCTTCTCTCCTCTCTTTTCCTCTAGAGAGTCCTTCCCTAAATAAAATCATTACAGGAACAGTCCAGGGCTTCAGCTACTGGCAGCCTCCAATATTGCATTATAACAATCCAATAAAACAGTCCACCTTACAGAGATACCATTTAAAATGGAAAGCAGTTTTAACTTGGCTGCATTCATTTAGAAGAATAAACAGTTTGTTTAATAAGTTTATAGGAATTTAACAAGGCTGTCTGGAAGTTCAAGCAGAATAAGATACCTGATATTGTTGCCTTTTGGGTGCATTTTTAATTATATTGACCTTTTTAATTATAACATGGAATAGAACAGATCATCCCATTTCAAAAGGCAGTGTTATACATTTATTCCTTCAGTTTTAAATACTTACGTGTCGTAAATTTTGGAGAAAATCTGTGTTGTGTCCTTTTAAGCGTAGCTCCAAGTCTGTGGTGAATTAGGCTTCATAAATACATTATAGAGGAAACTACTATAAATGTAGTTAGGATGTGTCTATCTTACAAATTGCTACATGTAGGATACATGGCCACAAATCAGTCTTTAAAAATTAACAGGAAGAAACCATCTATCCTGGCTGGCTCCCCGAAGTAGTTTTTATCTGGTAAGCTGTTTCATATAAGGTGTGTGTGATGCTGAGTTTTAATGTTCTACAAAAATGATATAGGTTCTTCCCTTAATACTTCTGACTCTGCTGCTGAAGCTATCATTGGGTCAAATACACATACTGTAAATTTACATTAAATTACATTTCTGTTGTTTAAAAAAAGCTCTGTATAATGAAGCATAAAAATTAGGCCCACACCCAGATATGTGCATTTTTGTGCGTGCATAATAGAATTGAATACCAGCTCTGATGTTTAATGGAGTGCGGTATCTTCCTCAAGCTTTGAACTGATCCTGTGATTATTGAATCACTTACAGCCAAATGCACTGAAGATATTAAAAAAATGCCCAAAACAACCAAACCAAAACAAAAAACTTGAGAGTAATTAAAAAAACCCCAACCCACTCATAAAGCATATAACATAATTTAAAAAATAAAGACGATGGAGCCTCAAGGACCTTAAAACATCAACAGCAAAACACTCCACCTTTAAAGGTGTATCAGTCACAATGTAGACAGGATCCATAACAAGAACCTCTCTGCCTACAGTACGTTGTTTGTGGAACAACCAACCTTTTGTACTACTGGGCTGAGGAAACAGCTTAAAAGATCAGGGGAGCCAATTATATTGGCAATATCTGGAGTACAATAATAACATTACAGTTAGCACCAGGAAGCATATTGCTTATCAGAAGCTTTTGTTTTATTTATTGAAGGAAATATTCTGTTCTATGGGACTTTGTTTGTTGGTCTCCCGCACATAAGCAGAGATCTTGTCTGAGCATGCTAGCAGAAATCAACCTGGACTCTTCCCTAACTATAATATAGATCTCACGAGGAGATCCTTAAACTTGGAGATTTCAAACTCAAGCAGCTTTGCACCAATAACTATTCTTATTTTGGGGTCTACACATAAGAGGGAAGGGTTGGTCCAAGATGCATTATTCTAGCTTCTAAACAGAGAATTTTATTTGTTAAGGTTGTAGACAATCTATCAGTTTAACAGGGGCTAGTTCCCTGAAATGTACTTTGTTTTTCATAGAATCATTTTGAATAGTGCTCTAAGTATGAGTTACCTAAAAATGTCTCATATTGCAGAAGCCCCATAGATCGCATAGTAATGTAATAATTTCTACGTAGAATTTTTTATCAAATCCCTTTTTTAGGATTTACTGTGAAATCTAAGCAACTTTCAAGAAGGACACTGGACATGACGGTTGAGTCTGTCTACTATGGGAAATCACATTCCTGTAAACATTAAGGAAGATCCTCAGCTGATGTGTAAATGGTTAGGTTTGATTGGCTTTAATGAAGCTGTCCCCATCTAACCAGCTAAGAATGTGGCTTGCTGTTTTTGAACAGCTTTAGGACAAATATTGAGAATAAATTACACTTCAGTCCTCACATGCCAAAGCATTTGTTTTAGTGTCACAATATTACTAAATCCTTCTTTTATTTGTTGTAAGTTTCACTTAGGGCCTTGTTACGTGTTGGTAAGGGGCAGCTGTTGGAGCTCTTAACACTTGGTTTGTCCACACATTAACACCTGAAACTAGTTTTAAGCACTCATTAGGCATCTTAAAGTTATGCTACTCCAGGGCAGGATTATCTCTGATCTGTGTTACGCAGCTTGTGGTATAGCCATGCTAGCCAAATTCCTGCTCATTGCCCCTCCCCCTGCTTACTGCCACCTGGCTGTGCTATCTGTTTCTGGGGTAGCAGGCAAGGAAGGATTAACCTGCCTGGCCGGCCACCACCACCGCTGCTCTCTGGCCTGGGCTTAGCCTGGAGAAGAGCAACCACCCTGTGACATGAAAATGCTAGATGTGCTTTGCAATTTTTAGTTTCATACTTTTTGCAACAGATTTTCATGCACTTGGTCCAAGAAAAGCAGAAACAAAAATGCTCTGATTTCACTTTGCACTGGTTGTAAAACTGCACATGTGAAGTCACTTAAACAGAATCAGGCCCACTGATGGATTCCCCTTAATATGTTTTAAATATTTCCAAACTTTAATTTCAGACTGTATACACAAATAGAAAACATGCAGAAACTGTAACTAAGAGACTGTTCTATAGGACTTATGCTGTGTCATTGGATGCAGTACAAATAAGCATAAATTGTTATGCTGTAAATACGATATCTTTTCAAGTGTAAATTGAATGATGCTTTAATATACTCAACATCAACAGTTCTGTGTATTGAAGGCTTGCAAGATCAGATCCATATATATATGCACTAATAAGAAAAAGGTGCAAAATGACATGAAAAATATAGTGGGACAAGAAACTAGGTTTTTGCCCGTCTTAATAAGGTCTTGGCTGTCTCTAGTTGCTGTGTGCATGGGGTTCTCATTCTGTTGTGAATCCTTGGGAGGTCTCTACTTGGGTCCTTGAGGGAACAGTTCTAGCAGAGTCAACGGAGATGCATTGTTGAGGCTATTGGTGCCTTTGGCCTGTAGTCTTAAGTGACATGCTGCTTTTTGACAATGTCACAACTACAAACCATGTTTTCCTGATTTAAGTTAAAAGTATTAGACCATGTGCACCTTAGTACAACTGAGGGAAACTCCCATTGAAGCCAGAGGGTCAAATTCTGATTCTATTAATATTAGGAGGACTTTCCTATTGTGTCAACAGGCATAATTTGTTCTGCTCTTATTTCATATTTACACTAATGTAGCAGTAGAATATGTTGCAGGTGGGAATTGCCCCCTTTGACAGGAGAGTAGATCAGATCTTTCATATGAAGCAAGTACTTACATTTAGGACCTCTCTGGAAAAAATTAAAGATGCAATTTAATAAAAAACCATATAAATTACATTGAGTGTTGTTTTGTGGAGACTCTGACTGTTATTACTTAATGGCATTCTTATGGCTAATAATCTTTTAATTCATAACAAAATTCCTAAAAAAAGCAAAACAAAACCCAACAAAGTAAACTAAAAGCCCTGTCGTTCTTCATCAATTATTTGTAAAATATTTACAAACGTTTTTCTCTTTCTCTCTTTCTCTTTCTTGGACAGGTAGTGGCCCAATCCTAGATCCTGATCTTTATGGTAATATATTTGATTTTTTTTTTTGTTTTGTTTTTGGTTTTGTTTTTGAAATGACAAAATAATAAGTAACTCAAACTGCTAAAAGATGGACTGTTATGCTTGGTTGAATGGCACATATTTTAACATTAATCAAGTGTCCTTTGTATGAATGGTTCTTTTCCTGCTTATTTTATTTTAAGTGAATTAAGGGTAAAACATATTACTTTTTCTACCTCTGTCTCTAAAGCTTTGCTTCCAACCAGTAGAAGCATAAATTTACTGCTATTGAATGTTTGCAAAGGTCCCTTTACAGACTTATTACAACTATGAATGGCACAGCTCATTCATTTTGAGGTTTTGTGAGCTTCAGTTCATTATCTTTCCTTTTATAATTTAAATAATATTTTTTCCGAAAAGATAATGGACCATTTGATTTACCTCTGTAAAAGGAGGCCTAGACTGTAGGGGAAAATATAATTTGAAAAATAAGGTTGGCACAAGTGCTAACTCCTTTAAACAGGTTATTTTCTCTTCTAGTTTACCTTTATCAGTCTCTTTGAAGTGTAATGTTTAAGTTGATGCTCAATTAGACAAAATATTTTAGCTTATTCTTTACAAAGACTGATCTATACTATAAAGGCAGTGTATAAACTTGGCTGTGCCTATTGACCAACTGTGAAAGTCCATCTTTAAGAGTGCTTCCAAACTATCCTTTATTTTCTTGGAGGAGTTGGATCCTGCTCAGTATTTGGTTATTTGAATGAAATGGCCCATGACTTAAATTTCCTTAGGCTAAATTAAATTTTATTGCTTTGATTCCATTCCATGTCATTAACCTTTAGCCTGAATATGCAGTTTGGGATCAAAGTGGTTTTAAGTGCTTAGGAAATATTTAAAGCATAGCTTCTCCTCCCTTTTTTCCAAATGCTTTACTTGGATAGTTTAGACAGTTCCTTGCCTGTGCTCTATTATGTAAGTAGTATTAACAAGGTATAAATCCTTCAGTTTTGCTCTGTAAAATTATCTGAGGCCCCTGTTTAAGAACGTAATGAAGTCTGAGCTTGCTTTTAACCATGCAAGTACTATCATTGGCTTTGCTGAGAACTACTGATATGTTTATATTTACCCAAGAGATTTGGTATTTTATTGAATTGGAGTTTGGAAGAACTACTGCTATAGAATAAAGTGTCATTTCATTTGTTTCCCTTTTGAAATTATTACTTGTGGACTGTGTTTTTTTTATTAATTTTAAAGATATACACAATGACTTCTTGCTCACTGTGAGACTCTTAGTAGTCTAACTTGTAGTTCTAATTTCACTGGTTTAGTTAGTGGGTTGAGCAAATGACAGCTAAAATACTCAACTTTAAATGGCGGTATAATTATTTTTGAGAGTGTCACAAGTTGAAGTCAATGAACTTGAAATTGCCCTGGGACCAGCTCCTGTTCTGTGACCTTGCATATTTCATGGAATAATTTTAGAAAGCTTCTTTTCATCTACTTGCATTTTCTGTTGAAATAAAGATGTAAAGGTCCATCTTCTCACATCAAAACTCCCCCTTGCCCCCAAATAATTTTTCAGACTCCTATGAAAACTAAGAATTTGCTGTCTAGATTTTATTGGGAAGAGGCAAAAGTAATAATAACAAGAAAAAAGTCTGCAAGATCTACCCCCAGACACTGCCTTTTTACAAAGTGCTTTAACACTACCTTTAAGTTGGAGTGCCGTCAGCTCCTGTTGAAGCCTGTGAGAGATGAGAAACACTTGCTGCCCAAAGGACTGGGCACTTTAGGAGTAGGTATTTACTTACATTTTGACGTGGAGAGAGAGCAAACGCATCAAGCAGGGAGAATGGTGAACTGCAGCTCTCCAAATGTAATTTAGGAAGCTACTAATAGGAGGAATTGAAGCAGGGTGTAAAAGGGACAGCCTTTAACTCAGACGAAATAAAATGGCCTGCAGACAGCAAAAAATCAGGGGCTTCAATGGAATATTTTTCTTCCCAAAAGAAGGCGGTGGGTGGAGTGTGCACGCGTTTGTGTGTATGTGTGGTGGCTAGTAACACTCTGTAGTGCATGGGCCCATTGATTCCCCAAGGAGGGGCAGAGTAGGACACTTTCATTATGCCTCCCTGTGACTTATATTAGTTGATGTGGAATGGGGCTGGCACAAACAGATCCATTCATTGGTTAGGGCCCGTGCTCCAGGGACAGAAGTTACGCATAAACTGGATTAAGTGATCAGAAACTGGTTTAAACCTGTAACAGAACAGAAGTTCAGTGAACATAAACTGCTTTCAATATGCTCAAACTGTTTAAGATAAACCTGGTTGAATATAGTATCAGACTTAACTGATTTAGGTCAAACCGGTTTATGGAACTTCTGTCCCAGATCCCTCCCTGATTCAGCTTAACCCACAGTCCTCCAGCATCCCAGGATGCTGTGCAGCTCTGGGCGATGCTCTCTGCTCCACCAGAGCAAGGCAGCTCTGCCCCTAGCTGCAAAATCCCAGGCAACCCAGAGCCTGGCCAGTTCATCTGGCCCTGCCACCTCCACCAGGGGAATTGGCCTGGTTCCCAGCTGAGGTGGAAGTAAACCCCCCACTGTGGACTTCCCTGCATGCTGGGCACAACCCGGCTGGGGGTCCAGAGCTGGTGTGGCTGGGTGATCACCCTGCTTGGATTCCCAGCTTGGGTGGGGGGAGTAAAGTGGGTTCCTCACCCCCCCCAGTGCCAGGCACAGTTTGGTTGGAGGCCTGGAATAGGGGAGGGGGGGGGATAGGGCAGCTGTTCCCCTTCCCATCCCACAGCTCCCTCCTCAGCCTGCCTGCTGGCTGGAGAGGGGAATAGCCAGGGTGATCGCTCTGGCTCCTAGTTCCCAGCTCAGGTAGAGGGAGTAAAGCCCCTAGTTTGGGCTCCCCCCACCCTACACCCCTGCAGTGGGGGCCATTTTACCTCTAAGTGCCTCCTCAGCCAGCCTGCCAGCCAAAGAAGGGCCATGGCCAGTATATTGCTCTAGCTGCCAGCTGCAGGGAAGCTCACAGTGGGGGCTTTACTCCCCCAGCCTGAGCCAGGAACCGGAACAGTCACCCAGCCATGCTGTCTCCTCAGCTGGCAGGCCAGCTGAGGAAGGAGTTGGAGTAAAAAATGACCTCCACTGTGTGCTTCCTTCTTGTACTGGGCACAGCCTGGATGGGGATCCAGATCTGGGTCAGGGGGCCCTTTCCCCCCTCACTCCTTCCTCAGTGGCCTGCTGGCCAAGGAAGGGGCATGGCTGGGTGATCTCCCCAGCTCCCCTGCTTTGGCAAGGGGAGTAAAGCCCTGACTGCAGCTTCCCTGCAGCTAGGATGATCACCCGGCTATGCCCCCTCCTCAGCTGGTCAGCTGGTCACTGAGGAGGGAGTGAGCGGGGGAAAGCGCCCCCCACACACCTGGTTGTGGATCCCTGGCCAGGCTGTGCACAGCACAGAGGGAAGCATGCAGTTGAGGCCATTTTTCCCACCCACTCCATCCTCAGCTGGCAGCCAGGGAGACAGCATGGGCAGGTGATCGGCCCGGCTCCTAGGTTGGGCAGGTGAATAAAGCCCCCACTGTGAACTTTCCTGCAGCTGGCAGCCAGGACGATCACCGGGCCATGACCTGTCTTCAGCTGGCAGATTGACTGAGGAGGCACTGGAATGTGAAATGGCCCCCACTGTGGGCTTCCCCCCAATGCTGGACACAGCCTGTCTGGGGGTCTAGAGCTGGGTGAGGGGGCCCTTCCCTCCTCACTCCTCCTCAACTGGCCTGCTGGCCAAGGAAGGGGCATGGCTGGGGGGATTGCCGTGGTTCCCAGCTGCAGGGAAGCCTGCAGTGGGGGCTTTACTCCCCCTGCCTAAGCCAGGAGCTGGGGAGATCACTGGGACATGCCCCCCTCCTCAGCTGGCAGGCTAGGTGAGGAGGGAATGGAGGAGGGAAAAGCAGCTTCCACTGTGGGCTTGTCCCTTGCCACACACTCAGCACTGCCTGGCTTGGGTCTGGAGATGGGAGGTGGGGCATTCCCCCCCCAAAAAACTCCCTTCTCAGGTGATCATCCAGCCAAGGAAAGGGCATGGCTGGGTGATGGGCCTGGATCTGGCTCTGGGTGAGGGGGGAGTAGGGGGAGAGAGGGAGAAGCGACTTGCTCTCCCTTCCCCCCTTCCTCTTGCACTGGGAAGACCCCAGCTGGGGGTCCAGTGCAGGGTGATGGGGTTCCCTTCACATCTCCTCCTCAGCTGGCCTGGACTGAGGAGGGGGCATGCCTAGGGGGCTCTGAGCAGGGGGAGAAAGAGAAATGCCCTACCAGGGGCTTCCCCCATCCCCTTTCCCCTCCCTTAGGATTGGACAGTTCCCCCCACACCCACTCCTCAGCTGGCTGGAGCCTGAAGAGGGGGCAAGGCTGGGGGAATTGCTCATCTCCTGGCTCTCTACTATGGTTGTCAGGCTGGGAGGCATGCTTTAGCACACCCCTGGCTCCTGGTATGGACTACTGCATGGGTCTGGCTGCCTTTCAGTTATGAAAAGTGAACATCAGATCATTTTCTAATTGGTTCAATCTAGGCATCTTACAGGAACCTGCAAAGTTTGAATCAGTTCAGTCTCAGGGTTTTTAACTGTCTGTACTTAGTGTCCACCCCCCAGTTTTGTGCAGAGTGAATCGTTTTAAAGAAGGATTTGATATGTCCCTATGGGTTTGACCTTTACAACTCTGTGTTGCATGTGGTAGCTTCCAAACCTTTTCACGATTAAGGCTAAGTACAGACAGTCCAAAAGCCCAAAGCTGAATTGATTCAAGCTTTGCAGGTTAGTCTAAGCTGCAGAATTAAATTGAAACAGAAGTGAACACACATTTAGCTTTGATTCGGGAAATGCAACTACATACCTGCAGTGGCTCAGGTCAGAAGCTGGGAGGCACTACTGCACAGCAATCTGACATCTAGTCAGCATGGGCTGTGTGTTTACTTCCTCTTCCTGGTGCCCGTGAGGTCTCTGGGATTTGCAGT